CAGCAAGTCTAGGCCTGGCTGACTCTTTCTCCTGGGAAAAAAGTCTTCTTTCTCCCAACAGGTCTGCTCCCTCCACCCCCCAAAAAAGACCGTGATGCCCTGTAGCTGGTTGAGTGCTCGTCCGTGAAAGGGTCACTGTGGGCAGAGGGCTGCAGTGCAGCCTTGTGGGCAGGAAGCCTCTGGAAAGCAGCCTGTGGCTAGTTGTCGGAGGAGCAGGGTCTAGTGTGATGTGTGGTTGTCTTTTTGTGGGTGTTCCACACACACACACACACAGCCCACTGGCACCTCCTGGAGCTCAGGGACTTGGGCTGGTTCATCTCTGTATCCCTGCGGTCAACCTAGAAGGTGATTTTTTTTTTTTTTGGCTGTGCTGTGCAGCATGTGGGATCTTAGTTCGAACCCACACCCCCTGCAGTGGAAGTGCAGAGTCCTCATCACTGGACCGCCAGGGAAGTCCCTAATTACATTTTTTAAAAATATATATTTATTTTTGGCTGTGTTGGGTCTTCGTTGCTGCACATGGGCTTTCTCTAGTTGTGGTGAGCGGGGGCTACTCTGCATTGTGGTGCGCGGGCTTCTCATTGCGGTGGCTTCTCTTGTTGCGGAGCATGGGCTCTAGGCGCGCGGGCTTCAGTAGTTGTGGCAGTCCCTAATTACTTTTGAATGAATGGATGAGTGATCACATCTTAAAGAAAAGTGCCTGAAGCCACCACCCAGAAACCGACATGTAACTCTGGTCTTCCCCACATGTGATGGAGCACCTTGGAAGTCACTTTCACATGTGAGTCCCACAGTGACCCAGAGAGGCGGGCTCATCAACACCATTTCAGAACGAGGACACTGGGGCCCAGGGAGCTCAGTAGAGTACCCCAGAGGCACAGGGCTCCGGCTGAGTGCTGGGCTCAGGGCAAGTACCAAGAAGGGAAGACTAGAGCAGGGTGGAGGGCCACCCAGCCTAACTCCTGGGCTAGTGAAAACTGCCAGGGGTGGAACCCTTGAGCCAAACCATCTGTGTTTGAATAGAAAATCTCAGAGAACTTTATCAATCATGCAAAGCTGCACCACATAGAAAAATTCAACATTTGACCCCGCGTTGAATTGGTCAGACATGTACCCAGCGGGTGCTGGGCCATTGAGGCAGGCCAGGGCAGGTGCTGGTCCCCAGGCTGGACGAGGAGGGAATGAATCAGCAGACATCAAGCAAGCAGTATCCTCGGGCTGTGCGGGCCTGGACGGGCCATGGGTCGCCATGGGAACAGGGCAAGGGCCGCAGTGAAGCAGCCCGTGAAGGGAGACACACCTGACACATAGACATGCACACGCTCTGCTTCAGACCCTCCCCGGGCTTCTCCTCACACGCAACACACGTCGAAGTCCTTCCCACCGCCCATGAGATTCTGCGTGAGCCAGCTCTGCCCGTCTCCCCACCCCCTCTCTTCCCTGTCTCCCTCCCTCATTCTGCCCAGCCGCACTTGAACAGGACACCCTGTCTCTGCACAAAGCTATTGCCTCTGCTGTTCCCTTGTCCCGTAACACCTTCTGCTCAGGTAATCTCAGCAGGGTCGCTCCGTCTTGTCAACAGGTCTCTGCTCAGATGTCACCTCCTTAGGGAGCCTTTCTCGCCCCCTGTGTCGAATATCACCTCTCCTCCTGCTTCCCTCCCTGTCCGAGAAGCCCATCTTACTGCCTGCATCCCATTTATCACTCTGTGGATTTCTTTTTTAATCTAAATATTTTTTAATTAAAAAAATTAATTAATTTATTTGGCTGCACCGGGTCTTAGTTGCGGCACGCGGCATGGCATCTTCGTTGCCGTGTACAGGATCTTCAGTTGCGGCGTGTGGGGAATCTAGTTCCCCGACCAGGGATCGATCGAATGTGGGCTCCCTGCATTGGGAGCGCAGAGTCTTAACCACTGGACCACCAGGGAAGTCCCTAATTTAAATATTTGGTTGTTAATACAGTCCCATAGTTAAAACTTAAAGATAATATAGGGACTTCCCTGGTGGCGCAGTGGTTAAGAATCCGCCTGCCAATGCAGGGGATATGGGTTCGAGCCCTGGTCCGGGGAGATCCCACATGCCATGGAGCAAGTAAGCCCGTGAGCCACAACTACTGAGCCTGCGCTCTAGAGCCCATGCTCCGCAACAAGAGAAGCCACCGCAATGAGAAGCCTGCACACCGCAACGAAGAGTAGCCCCCGCTCACCACAACTAGAGAAAGCCTGCGCGAAGCAACGAAGACCCAACGCAGCCAAAAATAAATATATAAATAAATTTATTAGGGAAAAAAAAAAAGTAAGGCCAACCCAAATGCAAAAAGGAAGGGAAGTAGATTCCACAACTCAAAGGAAGGAGGAACAAAGAATTTACCACCTTTTTTAATCTACCGTGGTCTACCTTCAGGACACAGATTTTGTCTAGTTCTCCTGTGTGCCAGATATGCTCACCTCCTCCCAGAGGCCCTAAAAATCTCATCCCAGTACATCATTGGCTCATAGTGGATCTTGTGTAAATCAGGTCCTGGTGCAAATGAGGCTCCTCAGAAGATGAAGTTCCTGTGATTCCTCAGGAACAGTTTCTTGAATACGTTTCTCTTGATCTGAAGACCTGTGAGCTACGGACATGTTTTCTACTCTCCACAGCACAGAGCCAACAAGTAGAGTTGACAAGCATATGACAACCGGAGCAGACCCTTCTTTTCAAAAGGGGAGAAACAGGAGTGACATAGCTACGACTGGGTCAGAGCAATTTTGAAGTCCAGTTAGGCACACGTTGTCAGTTTTCTGATAAGGGTCCAATCCTCCTCCTTGGGAATAATTCTTCGCAGCTCGGGACTCCACCTTCTTGGCTGATGGGTTTCTTCGGAGTAGTCCTTTTTTTTCATGAGAAATAGCCATGTTTGCATTTGAATAGCCATCTTGGTCTGCTTCTTAGAAAGCTGGGGGTTCACAGGTCTCTTTTTATTTTTGTGCTTTGCCTTTTTCTGTGTTCTCTAGCTGTTTCTTTAAGCCTAGCATTTTGAATGGCTGCAGAGTGGGGTGGAATTACCATAATTCTTGGCTTCGGAGTCCATTTCCAACTTGCATTGCCCTGAATACCCTATAAATGGTACTCACTGAGCATCTACTGTGCCCCAGCACTGTTCTAATCAAGGATACGGCAATGAATGAAACAGACAAAATCCCTACCCTTACGGAACTGCCACTCTAGCGGGGGAAAGGGACAGTAAGCAAACAAGAAAGCAGGAAGGGCGATAGCAAGTGGATGTTTTATGTCTACTGTGATAGGAAGGGGAACTTCAGTTTTATTTAGGGAAGGCCATTCTCACTGAGAAGATGACATTTAAGTCAAAACATGAAGAAAGTGAGGGAGTGGCCAGACAGATATGTGAGGGAAGAACTGTCCAGATCGAAAGAAATACAACTGCAAAGGCTTTAGTTACATGTGTGCCTTCTCTTTTCTTAAACTAGTGTAGTCTGAGCAGACTGATCAGAGGGGGTGTTAGAAGGACATGAGGTCCGAGAAGTATCTAAGGGGTCAGGACTTTTTTTTTTTTTTTTTTTTTGGCGGCTTGCGGGATCTTAATTCCCCAACCAGGAATCCAACATGGGCCCTTGGCAATGAAAGCGCAGAGTCCTAACCACTGGACTGCCAGGGAATTCCCAGGAATTCCTTTTGTTTGTAAAGGAACCTTTTGTTTGTAAAGCCTTTAGTTTTTATTTTGACCTATGGGAATAGTTTGAGCAGGAGAATGACATGGTTTGACGTTTTTATAGAATTACTCTGGCTACTGTGTTAAGACTGGATAGGGAATGAGGTGGGAGCAGGAAGCCAAGGTTGTTGCCATAATCCAGGTGAGAAAAGATGGCGGTTCAGAAAAGGGGGAGTCACATTCCGGATATCTTTTGAAGCTTGTGGATGAGGGTGTCCAAGAGAAGGGGAGTTGAGTTAGTTTCCTAGAACTGCTGTCACAAATCATCACAAGTTTGGTAGTTAAAACAACAGAAATGGGATTCTCTGGTGGCGCAGTGGTTGAGAGTCCGCCTGCCGATGCAGGGGACGCGGGTTCGTGCCCCGGTCCGGGAAGATCCCACATGCCACGGAGCGGCTGGGCCTGTGAGCCATGGCCGCTGAGCCTGCGCGTCCGGAGCCTGTGCTCCGCAAAGGGAGAGGCCACACAGTGAGAGGCCCGCGTACCGCAAAAAAACCCAAAAAAAACCAAATACGTTCCCTCAAATACAAAAGTCTAAACACCGTTTCTCCCCGCCCTTGCTGCTGGCATTCTTTGGGTTGTGGCTACTCACTCCAGCCTCTGACTCCATCTCCACGTGGCCTTCTCTTCTCCGTGTCTCTTATATGGACACTTGTCATTGGATTTAGGGCCCCCCCCCCCATGGTAATCCAGGATGGTCTCTTCTCCAGATCCTTAATTACACCTTCAAATACCCTTTTTCCAAATCAGGTCACACCCACGGGTTCCAGGATGTGTAGGGGGGGTCACTATTCAACCCACTACGGGGATCAAGAATGATTCCAACGTTTTTGTACCCAGCAACCAAAAGAATGAAGTTTGCATGAACCAATAAGAAAAGGCTATGAGAGGAGCGTGTTTTTGAAGATGGAGCCAAAGTTCTGAGTAGATTCTAATGCGTGCAGGTGGAGCTGGAGCTGGCTAGGGTGCCCCGCCCTCCGCAGAGCTCTAGTGGGTTCAATTTCTTTGCTTCTCTTTTGGTGCTAAGTTCAGGGGCTGAGGCATCGGTGGGTGGGTCCAGCATGGCGCTACCCTGCTCCAGGCCGGGCCTCAAAGATGGCCGCAGCCACAGGGGGCAGACATGTTTCGGCCACGTGACCCAGGCCCGGGCCCGAGGCGGCTGAACTTGACGCACGGTAGAGGCGGGGCTCCTCCCCCGCAGCCCTGGCGTCGAGCGTCTCGTGACAGGTACTTCCGCTCGGGGCGGCGACGGTGGCGGAAGTGGGAGCGGAGCCGGAGTCTTGGCCATAAAGCCCGAGGCGGCGGCGGCGTTGGCGTTGGCAGCTTGGACAGGCCGAGGAGCCCGCTGGAATCGGAGCTTGGACTTTCCTTCGCTCCTGTCGTCCCCTCGTCTCCTCCTCGGCGGAGCCCTCGCGACGCGCCCGGCCCGGAGCCCAGCGGAGCGGCCGCGGTAAGTGGTGGCCCGTTCCCATCCCCCTCCCGGCCCTAGGTCGCCGGTGCGCGCCGGCCGCGTCTTGGGCAGGCCCGGCCCGGCCTCTTGGGGAGCTCCGTGTCTTCGGGCCCGGCGTCAGGCCGGCCGAGCGTCCGCGGGGGTGTCAGAGGTCGCCGGGTGTGACACCGGCTGGCGCCGCGCACGCCCGTTTCCCGGGGCGTCCGGCCCGAGACGGCCAGGGCGACCTGACCTGGGCGGCCCGGCACTGGGGCGGCGGCCGAGGGCGGGGGCCGGCCGACCCGCGGCGGGGGCGCCGCCCACCCTGCCCGGGTGCCAGGCAGAGCCGCGTGCCCGCCGTCCGGTCCTACCGACGCGGATGAGGGTCCCCGACGCCGCGAGTCCGCGGAGCTCCGGGTCACGTGTCCCGGGCTCCCTCGGGCGCCTCGGGCTCCCGCGACTGGGAGCTTTTTATCACAAAGACGTTACGGCGAGGCATGGAAGAAGTTTCCAAACTTGCTGGGGGAGAGACGGCGGCTGGGTGCAGAGCTGTGTTCGGACCGCGGCGGGGCCCGCGTAGGGCGTTCAGTTCGGGCTTTCCCGAAAGGAATGGTTCGCGACACTGGGAAAATTGAAAATAACAGTAGCAAACATTGGAGCGGTTATTGCACGTTAGGCAGCGTGGCGACATTTCTGCACCGATTATTGTATTTAATTCTCAGAATAGACTTCTCAAGTACCATTATTGTGCCCACTTACAGATAGGGAAATGGAAGATCGGAGAGGTTAAGTCATTTGCCCAAGGTCGCAGAACTAATAAGTTATGGAGCGGAGATTTGAGTCCAGGCACCCAGACTCCAGAGCCCTGTGCTCGGCCTCTGGATTGTACTGCTTTCTGATGCCCCTGAAGCTTGTGGAGTATCTTTTGCCACCTGGTATCTGTCTCTCTTCGTCTCCTTTCTTTCTATTGATGTCATTTTGGAAGGCTTTTCTGGTGCCATTAGTTCTGCCTTAAAACCATAACATATTTCATTTGCAGTTGTGAGTTTTAACGCACTTTTTTGTTTTTAAATAGTGTAGTGCCAGTAAACTGGGAGCTCTAGTATAGCAGAGTACTCAGTTGAGGTTTGAAAGTTTTTGTTACCTACATCTTTTGTCGAATGAGTTGGGCTGGCAGTCCTGCCATGTGGACCTTTTCTGAAGCCTTAGTGCATGGGTGTCCAGCTAGCTGGTTCTTTCCTGTTGAAAATACTGTATCTTCTCTTTGGATTCCAAAAGAAGAGGCTCTTGTCTCTTCCTTGTGACTGAAGCAGCTGATTACCCGCATGACTTCTCATCCATGGATTGATAAAGTCTCCTATTGGTGTGCTTCTCTCTTCAGACTTAGGAGAGTTTGTTCAGATTTGAGTCTAAGAACTGGAAAGTGAGTTGTGAGTACTTCTCCTGAAGATCTTGTCCAAGCCCTGTTGTAGTCTGATTTCTTTTCTTTTTTTTTGTTTTTAAACTTTGTTACCCAGCCTGATATACTTAAGTGGGTATTAAGTGTGGTAGCCTTAAGTATTGTTTGCATTTAGAGGAGTGTAACGACGAGTAGCGTTTCACCCATTCATCAGATGTTTTGAGTATCTACCATGTATCAGGCATTGCCTGTTGACTCAGGGAGATAGGCCTGGTTCCTATCCTCAAGGAATTTAAAGATGGTGAGTGATCATGGCCAGGAATTCTCTTGTGGAATGGCTTGGTGGTAGAATTTGAGATTTTTTGTAAAGAGGAGTTATTTTTCATCTCAGCAAGTGCATTCAGAGTAATCCAGGCAGCACGGTGTTCTGGGTAACTTGAAAGCCTTGTTCATTTTAACAACAGCATTTGATTTGGTTTGCTTTTGAAGAGAGTTCGTAGAAGAAAGTATCACAGTTTCTAAATTGGTCGTGTTTTTTGAAGGATAATTTACATCTCTAAACTTGTTTTACCTTTTGCTCTCCAGCATTTTTTGTTGTTCACTGAAGAGGGGGTTGGTGTCACTGTCATCTTACAGTGCGAACGTCAGCTTCGGGGGCTGTCTGAGCAGAGGTGCACTTGGCAGGCTGGGGCTGCTGCTTCAGCCGACAGTGAAAGTTTCATGTGCCGCCTCCCAGTCTCAGTACCAGTATCATCCTAGATAAAACCCTCCGCCACCCCATGTCCCACAAGTCCTCTGGTTCCCCTTCTTTAAGAGGGGACGTGAGTTTTGCATTTGTGGTGGAATTTCAGGAGCAGACAAACCGAAGGGGGAGTGGAATGCAGAAGGTACTCTAAAACAGCTGTATTTGGACATTTTTTCAGGTAATTGTTAGCAACCTCATGGAGCAAAAATATTTCTTGGTGCCAACCAGGCCTAACCCCTGCCCCAAACCCCATAATCAAAGAGCATTGCTGTATACTACAGTGTGGCTTTGAATCCAGTTCCTGACCCCACCACCAAGCGAAGCAGAACGTTTTGGTTGTTTGATTAGCTTTTAATAAATTTCCAAAGGGACCTGCACTGAGAACATCCTTGCCCTTAGGTTTGGCGTTAGTCTATCTATGCAAAGGTGTAGCAAACCCAGACCACACACGTGGGAGAGCCGTTTTATGCGCTATTTCTCTCTGAGATTTGACGTAAATATTTACCATTATTACTGTCATGAGTTGTCTAGCTCTCCATCTACGTAATTCACATACGGCTAAGGAGAACTCACCAGGCTGTTTTGTCTGGGAGTTAGAGTCCAGGTGTTCCGGGGAGGTCAGGAGGAGTCCTGCATGAGGCCCAGACGGTGGTTCACCTGGCACTGATGTCATCCCTGAAGGAGGCTGGAGCTGGGGAAGTTAGCTCCCCCCACTTCGCTGCTCCTGGCTCTCTGCTGCTTCCTGTCTCCCCTGTAAGGTGGCGGTTGTATTCCTGGCATTTGTTCCTCTGCGTGATCACACCTGTGTCTGTGACTGCCGTCTGCTAGAGCTGTGTGCTCCTGTCTGCAGTTTGCTGCAATGTGTTGATCGCTTCAGTTATTTACTCTCGCACCTTCCCTGTATTTTCTGCTTTTTCCTTCCCGCATATGGCATTAAACACAGAAAAATAGTTTGCACTTATATTTTAAAACTTGTTAATGGCGGTTGTGGTTAGTGTGATTTGTGAATCAAAAGTTAAAAGTGATGTGGTGCGGGAAATCAGAACAGGCTTTTTAGCACCGTCTCCGACTTGTTTCAATTTTAGTATTCCGGGCTGTGATTTCAAAAACAATTTAAGAATAGCTACTTGCAGAATGTCTCCATGGGGGAGGAAGAGAGCTTGGGAGTTGGTTCCAGTGGTGACATGCAGTATTGGCCTTGTTCATCTCCCTGAAGATGCAGGGCTTAATGCAGGGGATCTCAGGCCTCGCCCGGGGCTCTCTGTTTTTGGTGATGTCGTCACTGCCGCGGAGATCAGTCTCACTGATTCTGTTGTCCATATCCTGGTTGTCTAGGACTGCTTGCTGTCCGGACAGAGCACGTTTGAGCAAGCCCATCAAGGGAGGCAGGGACCTTGCTTGGCTCTCAAGTGGCCTTGCGTGCGTGCCCACCCCCAGGTGCAGGGAAGCGCCTTCTCTAGTCTCCCCACCCTCTCACAGCTAGAGGGCTTGCTCTTACTACTGCCTTTCCTGGACTTAAGCTCAGCTCAGTTAGGGAATACTTTAAAATTTCCATTGTGAAGTAAAAAGTTACATCACTGGTTTCCAATCTTGGTATGCTGTTTTGATTTTAAAAATTTATTACCATTTGAGTTGTTTTGAGAGTACACAACAAAGCTACTATGAATTAACCTTTAAAAAACCTGATTGTAACAGCACAGACTATATGAAAAATAGTGCCTCTTACATGTGTTATTTTGTCAGGCTACCGACAGTTCTCTGTGTACTTACAGGCCAGGGGCCCCAGAAATAACTCTGGGTCGTTTGGGCAGCCCACAGGTTAAGAGCCACGTTAAAGCCCTCCAACCTGTCCTGTTCAGTTGATGGTTGTTAAAGAGCATTCATTTAAAAAAAAAAAACCAAAACATTTATTTATTTATTTTAGGTTGCATTGGGTCTTCATTGCTGTGTGCGGGCTTTCTCTAGTTGTGGTGAGCCGGGGCTGCTCTTTGTTGCAGTGCACGGGCTTCTCATTGTGGTGGCTTCTCTTGTTGCCGAGCACGGGCTCTAGGCATGCAGGCTTCAGTAGTTGTGGCGCATGGGCTTAGTTGCTCCGCGGCATGTGGGATCTTCCCGGCCCAGGGCTCGAACCCATGTCCCCTGCATTGGCAGGCGGATTCTTAACCACTGCGCCACCAGGGAAGTCTGCGCATTCATGTTCTGTAGAAACTTTTCCTACATGGTATTTGTCTTTCAGTGTTTTTTAATGTTTGCCTAGTGCTTAACAGTTCACATAGGATTTCAGCTGGTGTTCACAGCAGCCCTGCAGGCTTAAGAGTGTGGCCGAGCCTGGGTGCTCAGGTGGCCCGGCTACTCTAATGCTAGTCTGGGTCTCCTGAAACACAGCTGAGGCTCTTTCTGATGCACCACCCTGGCTTTTTGATTATTCATGATTGCTGTAAAGCACTCAGCATTTGACTCCTTATAAAAACGTATCTTTCTTCCACTGTTTTTTATTTAAAATGACATTTCTCTTTTGCTGATTATTAAATAAGTCATTTCTTTAAAAAAATAAAATAAAAGCTAGGAAAATTCAGAAGTAAAAAGAATAATAATTCAGTTCACTACTCTGAGGCAGACCGGAGTGTTAACTGGTTATTTAATTCTCATGAATGTATACTTTAATACCTTTAATGAGATTGAATTTTTAAAGTATGGTATGAGAGATTAACTTTGGAGGGCTCTGGATATTCTTTGGATCCTTTGACTTGTGGGACCCCTCTAGATAAACACTCAGTGGTGGCAAGCTGGGATCCGGAGACTAGCTGTATTTTTCAAAAGTTTAGTGGCAACAGGTGAAGGACCTGATGCATTCAGTACCATAATAAGGTTTTTTTG